GTGTGTGTGTGTGTGTGTGTGTGTGTGCGCGCGCACCTTCAAGTCAGTGTTGACTCCTGGCGACCGCCTGGACAAGACCTTGCAGTTTTCTTGGCAACATTTTCGGAAGCGGTTAGCCCTTGCTTCCTTCCTAAGGCTGAGAGAGAGTGACTGGCCCGAGGTCAGCCAGCTGGCTTCGTGCCCAAGGCGGGACTAGAATTCACGTCTCCTGGTTTCTAGCCAAGTGCTTTTCACCAAACTGGCTCTCACTCAGCCACTACTATCGGGGAAATCAGCATTGTGTGACTGTGAGTTAGACAAGCTTGTATCTTCTCATCAGCAATTCTACAAGATCTCCCAGAACATGCTCGAGGAAAGAACTCTTTGGAAGCAAGGAGACCAACAGGAAGTTTTAAGAAATGGCTGTTCTTGACTTTGTGCTTAAAATCCGGTTTTACCTCTCCAGGGAGTGGAGGAAGTTGGAGATGCTATTCCGAAGGCTCACATCGGCCACGTGGAGAGCCCCACATACCACCCCCAGCATGGTGTCTGGTCTCTCTGCCTAGATGAAAAAAAAGGGAAAAGGCCATTTTACAAATTACTTATTTATATTATTAAATCAGGGACGAAGCACCTCACAGCTCAACTTTTAGCATCACCAATTGCCAACTTTGAGTAGTGTGGTTTTTCAGGATTGGCTTTAGAAAACTCAGGGCTAAAAGAGTTTTAATGGAGTCCTAATTTTGATTTTTTTAAAAAATTAAACCAATTGCCCAAGAAAGAGATGGAAAATTTAGACCCACCCCACTGGGTGACGTCTCTGCACCCCTGTCAAGTTCCTTGAGGCTGTCAGAAGACATTTTTTCTTTTCAAAAGAAAAAATGCAGCTCTTAGCCACCAAAAAACAGCTCACTCCTGATTTACACCATGCCACTTGGCTTAAATTGGCTTCTAAAGCAACTCATGGCACCTAAAATTGATAATATTATATTTGAGATACATATCTATGTGTGAGAGGGAGAAAGGATCTCATCTGGCCCTGGTAGTTAATGGTCTACCTCCAATTTCCAGGCTCTTCTCTCCAAAGCAGTGTTTCTCAACCTGAGCAACATTAAGATGTGTGGAATTCAACTCCCAGAATTCCCCAGCCAGCTATGGGGAATTCTGGGAGTTGAAGTCCACACATCTTAAAGTTACTCAAGTTGAAAAACACTGCTCCAGGGGAATGAAAAGAGAAGGCTCTACAGGAAACCCAAGGCTATCAAACTACTTTTTAAACAACTGCCCTTCCTAATGCCCACCCTTCCTATTTACGTGAACCTCTTCTGGCTATCTTTTGGATTAGACTATCATTCTTCCAAGATTTCTTCCTCTAATTAAGCCTTTTCTGATCTGGACATTCTCCCCAACAAGCAGCATGATCATTGCTAAGGATTCTGGGAGTTGAGGACCACATATCTGGAGAGCTATCTGCTCTATCCTCTCCTTCTCAATCCTTTCCTGAACCAAGACTTTTCATCAAATCATTCAGTTGGAAAGGACTTGGAGGTCTCCTAGTCCAACCCATTTCTGAGGGCAGGAATCCTCAGACCATTCCAAATGGCTCTCCAACATTTGCTTGAAAACCTCCAGTGATGGAGTATCCACAACTTCAAGAGGCAGGCTTAATATTGCTTCATAGCTTTCAGGAAATTCCTCCTTCTTTCAAGTTTGGATCTCTTTCTGTAAAGCTTCCAGCTTTCGTTCTTGTTCTGTCCTCAGATACTACGGAGAATAAATCCATATCCTCTTCCCTGTGACAGCTCTTCAGATATCAGAAGATTGCTATTAAATCTCCTTCTCTTCCTTAGGCTAAAGATAGTTTCTTTAGCTGCTCTTCATAGGCTTTAGCTTCCAAGCCCCTCACCAACTTTGTTGCTGTTTTCTGTATTCTTTTCTGCACTGCCAATATCCTTTCTTAACCTCCTATAACTATGCTTTCTTCCTCCTTCTCCTTTCTCAAGTGCCTCCTGCATTCTTCCATTCACAATCTGCCCTGCCTTACCTGGAGGCCTATTCTATCATCTGGAGAACTTTCTACTTACCCAATGGCAAACAGAACTGCCCAACTGGACACATCTGGAGGGTCCATCAGCATGAGTTCTATTTAGCACAGTGTACAGGCAGATAATTCACATGATAATGCAACCGTTTTTCTTTTCAGATACATTCCATCACTTTCTGTACAAGAAGATAATACCTGAACTTTTTCTGCAATGAGCCGGTCCAGCCAACCAGTGTCAATGCTGTTCTGCTGAAAGCTTTCCGTTTCAAGCAGCTTAATTAAGTACTCCACAGTGGTTCTGAAGTCCCCTCGAATGGACAGCTCCTTCAGAGCAACAACCATGTTTCTGAAGATTTAAAAAAAAGTGAGTCAAGTCTGAAAATAAGCTAGAGACCATCACCAGAATATAGAGTCCTTGGGGTTCTCTGAGCTTGGTTGTTTTATTGCAGACGTTTCATTACCCATCTAGGTTACATCAACAACTAGCACTGAAGATGTTACCTAGACAGGTAATGAAACGCCTGCAAGAAAACAACCAAGCTCAGAGAATTCTAAGGTCTGTAGTTCAACCGTGACCTACATTCTCTTCTATTGGTATCACCAGAATATCTTTCACTTCTGCTTCATCCTGGAGGCCCCACCCAGTCCCTGGTCCCTGAGAGGTCTGTAACAAAATCTTTTATTTAAGCACTACCCTGGTATCTACGCTGGTGATAAATAACTACACACAGATGAGTATAATATAATTCCATGCAAGCAACTGAGCCAAAGGAGACCACCCCATTCTTCTTCTGCAATCAGCACAGAAATCAAGAGGTCTAGAAGAAGAACAGGGAACATCTTCCATGTCCTGTTCTGCAGAGGCAGAACATTGCTAATATTTGTCCCAGTTAGTAAATTTGCAAGTCTGTTCAATAGATTGCTAACATTAAAGGTGGATCAAAAATTAAACACTTTGAAGATTCATTTGGGATTTAGTTGCTTAGATTTGATTAGATTGAAGCACCATAAATTTATGTATGTATTTGGTTTTACTGTATTTTTATACTATTTTTATTCTATTTTAACTAATATTTATTTCTTGTTTTTATTGTAAACCACCCAGAGTCACTTCCTCATGAAATGGGCGGTGTCTAAATTTAAAATACAAATAAATAAAATAAATAAAAATAAAGGCGCTTGTACAGGTAGTCCTTGCTTACCAACGATAATTGGGACGGGAAAGTCCATTGCTAAGCAACATGGTTGTAAGGCGTGATGTCATGTGATCATGCTGACTTACAACAGCAGTTCCAGCAGTTCCAGCTGCCATTGTTAGGTGAATCCCATGCGGTCACACAATGTCACACAGTCACATGAACACCATTTGCGACCTCCTGCTGACTTCCCCATTGACTTTGTTTGTCGGAAGCCAGAGGCAAAGGTCGCAAATGGAGATCACATGACTGCGGGATGCTGCAATGTTGTAATTGCAAGCTGGTTGCTAAGTGCCCAAATTGCAATCACACAACTGCAGGGATGCTGTGACAGCTGCAACTCCAAGGACCTGTCGTAAAGTACCCCTTGTTCAGTGCCACTGTAACTTTGAACAGTCACTGAATGAGTGGACATTAAACAAGGACTACCTGTAAATAAATATTCCCTGGTCTCTTCCACAGTGTCACATGGTCCACATTTAAAAAAAACAAAAACTTTATTATGGCCTTTGGGCCAGAAAACACAACAATAAAATACATGGACCTATAACTATTACTAAAACTTTT